TTTCAAATTGTACTGCTGTCAGAAATAATCATGACTGTTGAGACAGAACGGATGTTATGCTGCCAAAAGGGCTGATTCAAATAATAAAACTAAATAAATTAATAGAAGTATTTGACACCTTACCTTTTTTGGAATATTGGAATCGTATGCGAGCGGCACACATAAAGCAAAGGCACAAAAATTAAGCGGTGGCGAGCGAACTTATTACTTCGTTGGCGGTACATCGAGCTCTCTTGGTTCTTCGAAAAAGTCCAAAGTATGAACCGTTTAGGTGAAGCAAAGTGTCAAAATAGATAACGCGAATTTAAATTAAGAAATTAATAAAGAAAATAAATCCATTCTCGAACAACTGTAAATTTTAAGTAAATTAGATTTTTGTTTAATTGTAATTTCAAGTTGGCATACCTTTCTAAAGTTATTAATTTTTAACGTTTATACGTTTGCTAATATTTTTTATGTAAGTCAGGGTGAATGAGCGCTGTTCAAAAAATTTTCAAGGGGTAGCAAGTGTTATAGGCAGGGTAAAATTCCGCTGGCTATTAGCTTCGTGCGTGACAGCAGCTCCAATTCATTTATGTACTAATGGACTATTTTTGCGTATACTGACAATGCAATTTTTAATGGAATTCGTAATTAAAAAGTATATATGTTAGTTTTAATAAAAGTATATGGATTTGTAAAACAAGTGAAACATTAATTTATTATTATATATTTTTATCACTTAAACTAAAAAAACTAAGTATAATCAATAAAAATCAATAATAAAATATAGGCAGGCAACAGTATTTACGGAAAAATGTATGAGAAACTGCCTAAGTCTCGTACAGGGCCGCCGAGAGCCAGGTCGGGCCCCAAAACAATTTTCCAGGTCGGGCCCCGGGACAATTTTTAAGGTCAAGCCCCGCGACGATTTTTAAAAAAATTAAGCCCTGTTAATATCACATTTCTAAAAAAAAAAATGTTTCAAGCAAAGACTTCTCCTTCTCCTTAAAAAAAGGTCCTGAAGCAAAAAGTTCTTTTAAGTGAAATCTCTAAAAAAAAGGTCTTCACGCAAAAAATTCTCCTCCTTTTAAGTAAAATCTCTAAAAAAAGGTCTCTTGTGGCGAACTTTTCTTACCTAAAGCTTCCGGGCCCCCCTTATGCTGCTGCAGGGTCCCGGGAATTAGTTCCGGCTAACCCCCCTCTCGTCGGCCATTAAATAATAACGTGAAGTTAAAATGTATAAACAGGAGGATTGTTATTTATATTTTGATTTTTGTTCGAAAGAAAACATAGAATGAAAGTGTAATAACCAGGTCGACTAAAATAATTAGTAAAAGGATGCTTTTAGAAATTGAACGATTAACTTCATTTTTCCTTTTTTACAGACTCAAAAATACAGAATGAAGTGCGGCTTTGACTGCCACCTGACATTGACATCTCAAAAATGCCAACCTTCATCTTGACTTAAGGCATAGTCCATTTCTCGATATATCACAGAAAGATTAAAACTGGTTTCCTATAGTCGAAAGCCATAGCGAGAAATCAAAAATCACAAATCCAGGGAAGCAGACGCCCTTTCTTGCCCTCGTGCACCAATGACAGGGTGATATAATTAAGATATCCAAGAATATTTTCTGGACTCTATTAATACAATCACAATATGTTAGACTACAGTTGTATGTTTCACTTGGAAAAAGCTAAAATAAACCATAAGTTACCCGATTGCACTTCTGACAGGTTTAAAATAAAGCGCCATTTTTTTAAGCGAGTAGGTTTAAACACTATAACTTTTGCACAAGCTTTAACTGGATTTTTAAAATTTCCCACTAATCTCAATCAACAACTCGATTTTGACAAACACCTGAACTATAGCCAATAAAAGAATCCCTAACATAACCTGTCACTTCTGGCGAAGAGTGTGGGGAATGAAAGACTGCATCCAGAAGACTAATATAATAACGGCCGGAACAAACTGGGCCATAAAAAGAGAGACCGGTAATAAATCTTGTCGATGCCGAAGTCGCATGGCTCGATTCCAAAGAATCATACGTGCTAAAATATGTCCTGCTTCCGGCGTTCTGCCGGCTTAGGGGAGGCCATCGTTTAAAAAATTGGCACTGAGAGATTATTATAGCAGTTTTATCTTGTTGGGCTTTACTTGGATAGTAAACATGCGATTTATATATGAGGAAGACGTTTAGCCACCCTCTACTTTCTATTAGCTTTTGATTTACAAGGGAATAAACTTCAAACGATTATTTTTATAACTTACTATTTATATCTAAACGTCGAACAATAATACCTAAATTAAATTAGACAAGCAAAAATCAGCAGAAAAATATTAAATTCAAGAAAAGAACAGAAATTTCTAGATACAGGTGAAAATTTATTAAATTAATAAGTTTTATTATAAAAAATGCTGACAAAATAATATTGTTACTTGTTACTAATGAGTGTTTTTGAAATACATGTCGTATTCTTTGTATATTTTTATAGTAAGATCAGTACCACACTATTTATGTCCGTCAGATGTCCATAAATTGTCCAAAAGCAATACAAAGAGAGTCCATATATGGATCTTTCATGGAGTCCAAATGGACGTCCAGGAGTGGGACATTTGTATGTCCATTGGATGTCCTTCGGTAAAATTTTGGACGTCCTTTGGACAGCCGATATGTCCATGAATGGACTTCCGATGGACAGCCAATGGATTAACTTGTGCTGTCTAGGAATATGTGGAAAAAAAGTGTATGTCTGTAAAAATGCTTTACAATTTTACAATTTGAAAATTAAAATAAGTAGCTTTTGACTCATTGGACTAAAAGTTCTATAAAACAGTTATAAACAAAGAAAAAATAAAATGTTAATTATTGTATGATACTAATTTTCATTAAAACTAAGAATTGATTTTATTTTATTTGGGCTAGTACAAAATATATCTAGGCGATCCTTCAGATCGTGATAAACTTTGACCATTTGATGTATTGGCGAAGAAGATACAGTGTTAGTCATAGCAATTGTTAGTTTAAAAGTACCTTAATACGGTCAGATAAGTTCTCCGTTCAGTCTCAGTTTCAGTCGAACTGTCGGTTATCTATATGTGTAAACACAAAAAACTGTAAGAAAAATTGAAACTGATACGGAGCTGTGGCTCGATGGGTATACCAAAATCGTATCAGTTGTCAGTTAAACGGAAGTATAAACGAACCTGTCGATCAGGTCTCAGTCGCACAAAATTATCGCTAGAAATAGTGTGTACCTTGCGACATGGCAAACCATGACTTTATTAGTGAGTTTATAGAAATTTATCAGCAACACCCATGCCTGTGGAACAAAAAAGATCCGCAATTCCACAACATAAACAAAAGACAAGCTGCGGTCGTCATAAGTAAAAGTACAAGTAAAAGAAGATAGAATAGTCCAGAAATGTCTGGAAATACATTACCGGTCAAGAATATTCTAGACGACAGTTCGAGAAGGGTCAAGCAAGCTATATAAAGATGATCCTGACGTCAGTTTTATGATATGAGTTGAATAGTTGTTGTAAAAGTTGAGTTGAAATAAATGGAGATATCAAAAACCTGTGTAACAATATGTTGCCGACATTTAGGAGCATCACTCTTTTAATCAAAAATGTATCTCGCTAATGCTAAAAGTTTTTATGTTTTTTAAATGACTAAATTTATGTAAATAGACCAAATAAAGTCGTACATAGACAAAAATTTGATTGCAATTTGATTAAACCAAGAAATTTAAGTTTTCTTATCAAAACGCACGTATATGTTATGAGATCTCATTACGTGCATGTTATTAATAAATGTAATTTACAAGGAATATTGATAGTGCGATTTTTAACGTTTACTGACATGGGCGTAGAAAAAAATAGAAAAAGCGAAAATAAACAATTTACGATCAGCGTATGATAACGAACGAAAAAAGGTTAAGGAGGTTACTAAAAGTAGAGCCGGAAGTGGTGACATATCTGAACCATCTTTGTGGCACTACGACTTATTTATTTTCCTTAATGATACACGAGATGTTCGTGGTGGTAGAAATACTATGAAGAACACAACGGATGATGATGATGATGATGATAAGGATCCAGAAAATACAATAAGTAAATATTACATTAATTCATAGTGTATTGTTTTTATTATTTTGTAAAGTTAAATATGGTACAAAAATTAAACAAAAGGTACAGAAGATTATGCCATATTCTGCGAACTACTTCATCTTCCCAGTCAACTTTTCCTTCGTTTAGTAAATATTTCATGTACTTATTTCTCACATTTTTTGCTACTTTACTAGCATCGTTCCGATTTGATGTCACTTGAAGATCTACTAGTCCTTGCACCTCCAGAACTCTCTAGCTGAACTGTTTAATTCACTTGGAATATAAGTAGCGCTTGCCTTGTATCTTAAAAAATTGTGTAAGTAGCAGCAAGCCAAGACAACAATGTCCACATTTTCCATGTTTCTCAAATATGTAGAAGTATGAAAGATTCTAAATCTATTGGCCAATATCCCAATACGTCTTGCTCTTGATAAGCGGTAGTTAAAAACCATACGTACATAATTCAATTGATTATTGTTGAATGGTTTTAGGAAGTTTGGATTTAATACAAATGCTTCGTCTCCAATAAAAGCAAATGGTAGTTATGTGGTACTACACGGTGGCCTTACATCGGGGTGGTAAATGTAAATCATTGTTAGGTAATATTTTATAAAACTCAGTATTGTTGATTCGTAATTTACGACAGCCATTAACACTATGCTATGAAATTTCTTATAATTCCAAAATAAGGATACACTATCTGGTGGTGGTATTATGCGTACGTGCTTGCCATCTACAGCTCCGAGACAATTAGGAAATTGCCATCTAGTTTGAAAACCCTCGGCAGTAAGTCTCAATTCGGCTTCAGTTGTTAACATCTAAAACAATACATTACCTCAGTTTACGTTGCAATATAGTATCTAGAGGTATTTCTAGAACCCAATAAATGTTAATTTTTTTGTAGGGGGATTCATCGTCTGGTGCTGACGATCATGTATATGATGACGGAGAGGACAATTCCATAGAAGAAACAACAAATCGCTCACTTAATGAGGTAAGTACTAGTCAGTCTGAAGAGTCACACCCTATTACTAAAAATAGTTCACAATCAGTTCCCCTACCCACGAATACGAAATCCTCAGGTACACAAGTAAAGAGACCATGCAGCAGCTTTACTAATGTGACAAATAAAAAAGTGCTTCAACTGGTGGCTGATCCATTGACGAAGAACGATAATACGAAAGATGATATGTGCACTGCATTTGGTAATCATATTGCAGCAGAATTAAGTAATATGGCACCCGAAATGCTACCTTACGTTAAAAAAATTATTAAAGATGCCATATTTGAAGGCCAAATGCGTTCCCTTAATAAAACAGCTATAATAACTCAGCCGTTGTCATAGGGTCGATTATGGTCCGTACAGTAGCAGCCGCAGCAGCAGCAGCAGCAGCAGCAATCAGGTCAATTTGTAAATTCATGGAATGTACAATGTGCTGCAACACAAGAATTAAGTCCGGTAGGAAGTTCAATGGCCAGTTCTTTTTTCGCAGTATTCTGACACATAACATGTTATACGACTACATATTTGTAAGCTGTAATAAATAAAAAGATTACCTTTTCACTATCGTACTTATCTTTATATAATCCTGCAGTACTGTTATTATTGCTTTACAGGTTTCGGGTATTATAACGCTTAAACTAGTAGTTGATATGACAGTAGGAAATTTAAGACTTTGATATGAACTTCCAGTAGCCAAAAACTGATCGTTGCACTTAGCCTCTCATGTGGTGATATAGCTTCTCTCATGTTGGTGTCTTTCCTCATTCATTCTTAAATAGTTTGACCAATTAGGGTATCTTCATCCATCACTAACTGTGCATGACAAATGACAACCAAACTAATAGTCTAACAGCAGCAGCATTTTCAAACTGAACTGACAACTCTGTACTAAAACTGAGACTGAACGGAGAACTGATCTGACCGTCTAAAAGTACCGATCATCCAAGTCAGTAAACGTTTCCAGAATATAGTATTAAGGACCATCGTCGATTCACTCTGGTACTGCCGCAATACTGATCTTAATAGAGACCTTTAACAACGAAAGCTATCACATGGGAATGTTGATGTTATCCAGCTCCACAACGATGCCAATCTAATAAGAAGACTCAAGAGAAGCAATCTTTTTGAATTAGTACAGTGATGATAGATAAAAGCAGAGTATACCTAGTACTCTAAGGTACACTAGTAAGTAGAATCTTAGTTTATGAAGTTTTTCATCCCTAAATAAATTAGGTTAGAATTAAATTGCTAATTGATCTTAATGATCAGATTGTAATAATCGTAAATTCTTCTTTACTTGGGACATTTATTAAAAAAAAAATAATAATAAAAGCAAGCTAAATTTACTAAAATAAAATATCTTGGGTAGTATATTTTCCATTAGAAGCAGACAAATTGACAAAAAATCTACAGTTAACTTTTGACAACAAAAAATATTTGTAAAATAAAAAGTTAAAATTAATATTTTTATATACAATGCCATTATATACCTGATACTTTCCTGTAATGTTTTCTATAGAAGCGACAATAATGGCATCAATATCTTATTTTCACGAGTAAACTACCTACTGGTATACCGCATCAAGGATGTTTTCAAGTAGATATATATATTTTTTGTTATTGGGAAAGTTGTGTCTTCATCCCGAAATCCCTTTTTTTACTTGCGAGGGAAACAATAAAATCGGCAAAGAGGGGGCAGTCGGATCATCTAATTGGGATATTCTTGGACCCATTTGATTATAGCCGTAGTCTATCTCGACTGAAACGACTCAGAGACAGTATTCACATATTGTGTATTCCGCCTACATCGAGGGGCCAAAATCTAAATGGTCATTACATTGATACGAGGGTAAAAAGTAAGGTTACTTAACTGAAAAAACAAAACAAATAAATTCGTAATATAATAAAATGAAGAGAATATTTGAATAGGTCTGTGGGCCGTAAAGCTTCCTGTCGATAAAATGGAGAGTAAGATACACAATTATTATTAAATACGAAAAAATACGAAACTTAAATATAATTAAATCAAAAATAAATTATAATTAGCCATACAAATTAAAATAAGTGAAAAAGATAAGATTTTCCTTCTGAGTAATTAAAATCAGACATTCGAAACTGCATCCCGAATCGGTCAGGTAGAATTTTTAACAACGAAACTTCATCCCGGGTACAACGAAACTGCATCCGCGGTGCAAATTTTATTACTATTAAAATTCTACGAAAATTTAACCAGTGTTGTCAAATGTAATTTTTGAAAGTAGGTACCTACCTACAAAGTAAAAGAAACATAGGTACATAAAAGGTACTTTATTGAACCCTTACCAGAAAAATGTTTGTTAGAAAGTGGGACATGCATATAACAGAATTATTGGCAGATATATTTTTTATACTGATTATTCCAGTCATAATTAACATAGTAATAATTGTTGTTTTGTGATGAGGTTATTTGGATAAAACTAACTTAAATTGCCAAATGGACTTTTAATTAGCTTTAGTTCCCGGTATAAATGGATTATCTATGGGGTGGGATTTAAAAAATGCCAAGGGAAGACCAGTATACTATCGCCAAATATTATTAATTTTAGTTCGTCTTTGTCTTTGTGTTGGTGTTTTTGTGCAGTTTTTAATATTGGAAGCAACATTTTATTTAAGTGACAGAGGCATGTCATTATTGGTAATTCATGACTATACATTCAGTTTTCAAAAAATGTTGACCAATAAAACAGTAAAACGATGGCAATGCAGTAAGCGAACATGTAAGGCATTTGTGAAAACCCAAGAATCTGACGATACAATAGTGCAATCAGTTTTGGATCACAATCATGAAAAGTTATCCGATGAAGTTTTTAATAGACATTTCGTGAGTAATTCAGTTAAGCGTAAAGGAGTGGAGGATATTTGTGAAAAACCCTTAAAACTCATTAGAAACGAAATTAAAAATTCTGCAGTCGAGGCCTTAACCACAAAAGACATTGTAAGATTGGGGCAAAATATATACATTGCTAGATCTTCTCTTCTTTTTAAAAATCCTAAAAATATTTCCGAATTTCATGTGGCAACTACAGCTAGTTACTGATAAAGCTTAGCTGGGCTCATAACCTATACGAAATATTTTTCATTTATACATTATGTGGAAGCTATTCAGTTAAACCAGCAACTTGTTTTTATATATTTTATTATTAAATTTGATAAAGTAAAAAATCATAAAAACTTTTTTTATATAATATAGAGTAGGTAATTGTATTCTGCAAAGATTTAACATTCCCCTCGTATGTTTCGATCGTATAGAGGTGCCCCATCGGAACTATTTATTGACTGCTGCTGGACATCGGCCATAAAATATATCGGTTCCGGTACGTCCGGACCAGGACCGGGCGGGCGGGCGGCGAACATTCACATTATACACCCGGACCCCGGAGTCCGGACTCGATGTCGTAAAAAGTTAGCGTCATCGCCTTCCTTCGTCGCAGTCGGTCGCACCGACGATCCATGCGTCATTACAGCACACACCAGATACAAACAGCGTCTTATCTATAGAAAAAGGCATAATAGAGATTTCTAGAATATTGCCCTTTGCTCTCTAAATCACCTACACTGGTTATTACTGTAAATTACATATTAAAAATAAATAATGGACGAAATTCGTTTTGATTTTATTACAGAAAGGCTCGTTAGATTATATTTTAATTATTATCTACAAATCTACACTTAGAATATAAATATTGTCAAATTTAATTTGCTAAAAAAATTGTAATACATAAAAAAATTATATTTATCTACTATTATTTTAAAAAACAAAGTTTTGATTTTTTTACATGAACATTTTCAGAATCGTTTCTATAACCGAACAATATGTCTTTGAAACTGAACGTATATAGTTATTTCCTGAACTCGAAAAAGTTTTCCAACTTCTTCCGTTTATCGCACTTACATTTCAGTTTAAAAGTTCCTGTACGAATTGTAACTTCGATCGTTGCAAAGTTTTTAGGAATAATTCAGTTAAAGACCTACTCTACAAATTGACATTACCTATATTAACATTTAAAGTGGGTTCCTTTAAATTTTTTAAAAATCAATTATACAATTTTGATGTTGTTTTTATTAATTTTGTTCATTCATCATTAAATTTTGCGCCAAAAATGTCTTACTAACCAATTTGCTATTCTTTTCCAAAGTAGCTTTTAAAATAGTTTCAAAATAAATACACAAAAAGCTTTTTTAAAAAATTAAATAAAACAAAATATAAGATAAATAATATTTATATACTGACCTGAATGTTTTTTCAAACATATCTCGAATTTAATTAGGTCTTGTCTTTTTCTCTAGTCAGAATAAAAGAAGAGTGCAGTAAAAGTGGGGATACAACGTCACATTCCATAGGCGTGCTTTGGAAAATAAGTTTCTATAAAATAAAAAAGGGCACGGTATATGAAATGGTATAAACGCACTTCGTAGATTAAATTTTGAATATTATATTGAATATTATTTTGAATAAATAATATATTATTTACAAAAAATAAAAATAAACCTTATGCTTCTGACAAAATTGTTGCACTTTAACATTAAAAGAATTAAATTTAACCAATAAATAACAACTAGGATTATATGTTATTATTGGTGTTAAATAAGTGGTGTTTGTAATAACCAGTTTTTTATAGTCCTTATACAAGATGGTATGTGCATTCTTAATTTTATACATTAATTCCTAAATGCAGTAGTTACTTTGATAAACAATGAGTTGTGAATCTTGTGACACTACGATAAGCCGAACAAAACCTGGTATTTCATGTGCTGGTTTTTGTGGACAAAAATTATTTCACACCGGTTGTGTTGGGAGTTCCTTTGGACGTTGCCAAACATACTAAAACTTATAGCCTTCTATGGTATTGTCAGGAATGTTATCCTGCTGTTATTGATTTTAATAAGCATTTTCGCACACTATGGATACTAAGCTAATTGACGTGATAGGTAATATGGAGAAACTATTCACTGAAGCTAAAGAAGAAATTTTTAAAATGGCCAAAGAAAATATTACCAATATACCTCCTTTTGATTTAAATAAGTCAACTTATTCGCAAGTGGCTCAAGCGACATGTCAATCGGTTGCAGTTATTAAACCTAAGGATGCTACATAAAATAATATTCAAACTAAGGTTGATATTATGGGCAATATTAATCCCACTGAACTAAATGTAAAAGTTTCAAAAGCTAATAATACTAGAGATAGCGGAATACTTATTGGGTGTAGTAAGAATGAAGACTCATCTAAATTTAAAGATGCAGCTAACGCAAAATTATCAGATGCTTACGAAGTAAAAGAAATTAAAAGTAGAAACCCGAAAATTAGAATAGTTGTAATGATTGAGAAGCATGAACCTGACGAACTTATTTCGTTACTTAAGTACCAAAACGATGTCATCCAATCGTCCAGAGCGTTGTGAAAATTTGGGCTACCAAGAAACATGATAAGATGTATCAAGCAACTCTAGAAATTGATGCCGAAACTTATGTGAAAGCAATGTCTCTTCAAAGTCTTTTTGTTGGCTACGATGTATGTTCAGTGTTTGATGCTATAGATATCACATTATGCTCGGTCATAACCAAGGGTCGTGTTTAAAAAATATTGCTTGTCCTAAATGTTCTCGACCACATCAAATTAAAGATTGTCCCATTGATTCTGAAATGAAATGTATTAACGCTAAAACTTCTGATGTTAAACATTTTGCTTGGGATCACTCAAAGTGCCCTGTTTATCAGAAAAACCTTGAATATTATAAGAACTCTTTAATGTCATCGTAGGAATCATCAAGCATTTCTGATACTAGCCAACATAAACTTAATGTACTTTACCAGAATGTTAGAGGATTAAACACGAAACTTGCAAAACTGTTCAATAATTCCGTCGAATGTAACCACGACCTATTATCACTGTCAGAAACTTAGTTGAGTTCTTCTGTGTACGACTATTTTTTAAAAATTATGTAGTATTTCTTTCTGACAGAAATTTTAATATTACCAATACTACCAAAGGGGGAGGTGTGTTAATTGCTTTAAAGAAAGAATGCAATGCATTAAGACTAGATCTTTCTGAACTGAATACTTCTACTCCTTCTATTGACGTACTTGGTTTAAAAATTTTAGTCTCGAATAGCAATCTGTATGTTATATTACTTTATATTCCTCCCTCTACTAGTAATGACATATACGATGTCTTTTATGATGTTTTGTGTAATTACGAATGGTGCAACAATGACGAACAACTGTTAATATTAGGGGATTTTAATATGCCACATTATCATTCTAGTCGTAATGACATTACTTTGAAAAATGCTAGTATAGTTGCACTTGATAATTTTACCGAATTATTAGCTTTAAGACAATATAATAATACTCTTAATTGTAATAACCGTTTAATCGATTTTATCTTTAGTAGTTCTCTTGCTGATATCAACCATCTTATTTTTTCTTGTAGCCACCATAATTCTCATCGTTCAGATTTTCTTAAAAAACTTTCTTCCCTGAATATCCTTTTTCCATCAAGTATTTCTATTTTATTAAGTTCATTTAATGAGAAAATATATAACTTAATTATTGAATTTTTAATTAAAGAAAATATTAAAATATAAATAAATAAACAAAAAATTATTCGGTTTACAAAAGTCTGTGGCAACAAAAACTACGTTTAGATGCCAATTCTCAAAAAAAATATATATATATATCTTTAGTAGATCTGACATCGCTGTAAATCGTTCACTTGATCCATTAGTTGACGAAGATATTTTACATCCTTCATTAGAATTTCGGCTGTCTTTTTCTCATATAAATACCAGTTTTGCTATGTCTAGTAAATTATCTTATAATTTCAAAAAGGCAAATCTTCCTCAACTCTACCAGAGTATCTGTAGAATTAATTGGAGTAGTTTGAATGCATGCGCAACTTCTGAGGAGACTTGTGATTTGTTTTATTCTATCTTAAATTCCGCAATTGCCGCTAATGTACCAAAAACTGCACCAAGGTGCAATTCAAAATATCCTCCTTGGTTTAATAGAAGTATAATCTCGGATTAGAGGAAAAAATCATCTCTTTATCGTTTGTATAGAAGAACACTAGAGGCTGAAATTTACACCGAGTTTAGTATTCTTAGGTCAAAAATTAAACGCGACATTTTGATAAATTACAAGAATTATTTGACAAATATTGAGAATAGAATATCTTCTAACCCCCAATTATTTCGGACAGTATATAAATTCAAGGAAAAACTGCAGTAGTATACCAAATGTTATGACTTTTGATAATAATCCTTTAAATAATTCACAGGACATTGTCAATGCATTTGCTACATATTTTCACTCATCGTACACTAATTCATCTAAAATTAATATGTCTAAACTAGGTAATGTTTATATTAACAGTTGTAACATTCCGCTACTTACAGAACAAGATGTCATTAAAGGTCTTAAAAGATTGAAACCTAAAAATACTAGAGGGCCAGATGATATTCCGGCATTTTTAATAAGAGATTTTGCAAATATTTTAGCCATACCTTTAACCATGGTCTTTAATATGTCCTTACGAGAAGGGAATTTTCCAAGTTATTGGAAGATATCTAAAATCTGTCCAATCTTTAAGAACGGATCCAAATCTATCATGGAAAACTACAGACCTATATCCATCCTTTGCAATTTTGGAAAAGTTTTCGAAAATGTCATTTATGAAATACTTTTCGCTCATGTAAAATCAATTATATCTCCGGCACAGCACGGCTTTTTCCAGACAGATCCACAGAGATCAATCTGATATGCCTTACACAACATATTGCCGAAAACCTTGATAGGGGTGGCCAGGTTGAAGCCATATATACTGACTTTTCCAAGGCCTTTGATCGCCTCAATCATAGTATACTTTTGAACAAGCTTTCCATTGTCGGACTCACTACGTCTTTTCTGCGTTTCTTTGAATCATATTTAAGTTATCGTAAATTGAAAGTTAAATACCATGGTTTTCGGTCAATTTGTATAAAAGCTTCTTTCTGTGTCCCTCAAGGTTCAGTTCTAGGACCACTTTTATTTTCCATTTTTGCTTACAATCAAAAGAATCAAAACTGCGTTGTTCAAATTGTCCTCCATTGACTTCCATACAATAATAAATTCTCTCGAACTAATAAATAAAAAAAATCAAAACATTTTCTTTTCTCGCCTTCATTTTTTGTTCTATCACGATTCTTCGATCATTTCATGTATGATAAAACAATTAATTTTTTTTAAGAATGTAATTTTTTTCATACACCGTTGTAAAGAGGCTTCCAAGACCTTACAAATGAAATATCACTCAACCCCTCTTCCCTATTCAATTTTGAGGGGTTGAAGCGCCCCCTCAAAGGGAGTTGCTCGTTTAAGCCTCAAATATACGTCAAAAGATGTCCCCCAAAGAAAATCATCCGATGTGTTTCGGGAAATTTTTCCAATTACTATGGGATAAGAAATATACGGGGTGACTCGTCTGAGATGGAACACCCTGTAGCTTTCTCCACGATTTTTGTAAGATTCGATATTAAAGAAATTGGTCGGTAAGGTATCATTTCTTTTCTACGGCAGCGTAGAAGGGCCACATTTTTTTAAAATTTTTTAGGTTTTTTTTTATTTTTAAAATTTCGTGTTTGAACACATAATTCCTTGTTCGTACACGGAATTCCCTGTTCAAACACGGAATTCCATATCTGTACCCCAGAGCCAGAGTATGGTAAGTTCAAAAACTTAGTTTTTCAGGAGAACATTTTTAATATATTCATTTTAGGCTGTGGACTGTGGGCTTAGAGCGTAGTTAAAAATGAGGGATTTTTGTTATTTCAAAAGATACGCCAAAATGGAAAATACCAAACGATGCGCCGCAAAATTTAAAGTCACTTAACATATTTACCTAAAATTTTGCCAATTTGGGCATAACATAGTCTGACTCCGAGGTACAGACATTCAAACACGGAATTCCGAACACGGGAATCTAAAATTCCGTGTACGGACAAGGAATTCCTTGTTTGAATACGGAATTCCGTGTTGAAATACGGAATTCCGTGTTTGAACAGGAAATTTCCGTGTTTGAACACAAAATTACAGATCTCCCTCTTCGTACACGGAATTTCGTATTTAAACACGGAAAATAGTAATTCTGTGTTCAAACACGGAATTCTATATTCGAGCTACATTTTTTAATGGTATATTTACAGGATGTTCTTGGGAGACTTGGGAAATTTGGGGAGGGAGAGGGAAATACGGATGCTCTGAAAATCCTCATAATTTGGTCCCAAATACTCTACTTGAACAATTTTATTTTAAATGAACTTTTAAGGTGCTTTCGGAGGCTGGAGAGGAGAGGGGGTGAAAAACGAATGACACCGAAACGTTCGACCTATGGTTTTCCATACTGTTGGACACAATTATTTGTCCATTTTCATTCGGAAGTGAATTTTATTTTCTAGATGCGCATATTTTGGTACAAGTATATTTTTTCTGACGTGTCATCAACAATTTTTTAAATATCACCATCATTTTTTGATAGTACCATTTAATAGAAACACAAGCAAAAAAATTCTTAACCGGTATCCCATTTCTTCACTTTTTTCTAGAGATAACTAATAATTGGATTCAGAAAACACCCCCTCACTTTACCTCTCTCTTATCATCTAGACTAGAGAGGCAAGGAGGGCAAATTTAAAATGCTGTACAGGACGTTATTTTGATCCGATTTAAATTAAATTTGGACATTAGGGACTAGACCCTATGTTATGTTTTGTTGAGAATGGGGTGTTAATACACTGCGACCTAAAATATCGATTGTGCCCCCTTCTGTCGCCAATGCACTAAGTAAATGTTTCAATGCTTATAACGACCCTTCCAATCCTATTTTCTCAAGGAAGACTAAACCCTAAGAAATAAGACCAGGTATCAGGGACCAAAGAGGGCCGAAACTTTTGGTACTACTTACGCCATCCCTCTTTTCAAAAGTCATCAAAAGTAGAAATTTGAGGATATTCAAAGAATCCGTATTTACCCATCCCTCCTCAAAATCCTCAAGTCACCCAAGAGTAACCTGTAAATACGCCAGTTAAGAGCAATCCAGTCCCTTCTGACGTCACACCGCACGAATATCATGACCTCCCCTTAAAGTATTTGGAACCTTGTTCGCTACATAAATTTGGCAATGTTGTGTGTCGTACGCTGAAGGGCCCGATTACAATTCAGGTATAATTCGTTGGCTATCGCCGCCTACTGGGGGTTAGTGGCTTGTTAATATACGAATGTAGGAATACTATTTTTAAACCAAACAACTCCAATATTTTTTATTTATTGATAGTTATAGAAGATATACAGGGTGTCCCGAAATTAGACGGTCATATTTTAACAGCGTAATCTACATCCTAAAATAGTAGTAAAAGATCATATAAAC